TTTTTTTTTTTTTTTTTTTTTGACTGAAAGGTTATCAAATCTTAATGGTTCTCCAAAGAAATCGGTTGGATTAATGTTGGATCTATTGAGACATCAGGTGGTTTACTGATTTTGTGGGATGCTAGTAAGATAAATGTGAGATCCCACGTGGGTTGGGGAGGACAACGAAGCATTCTTTATAAGGGTGTGGAAACCTTTCCCCAGCAGACGCTTTTTAAAAACCTTGAGGGGAAGCCCGAAAGGGAAAACCCAAAGAGGAGAATATCTGCTTGTGGTGAGCTTGGACCATTACAAATGGTATCAGAGCCAAGCATCAGATGATATGCCAGCCAAGAGCTGAGCCTCGAAGGGGGGTTGATTGGGGGGTCCCACATCGATTGGAGAAGGGAACGAGTGCCAACGAGAATGCTGGGCCCTGAAAGGGGTGGATTGTGAGATCCCAAATTGATGGAAGAAGAGTATGAGTACCAGCGAGGACGCTGGCCCTGAAGGGGGTGGATTGTGAAATCCCACATCGGTTGGGGAGGAGAACGAAGCATTCTTTATAATGGTGTGGAAACTTCTCCCTAGCAGATGTGTTATATAAAAACCTTGAGGGAAAGCCCGGAACGGAAAGCCCAAAGAGGACAATATCTGCTAGTGGTGGGCTTGGGCCGTTACAACAAAAATCTTGGAGTTTCTTAAAGGAGGCTGCACTCTCTCAATTGAAATACTTTTCCAGAACAAGTGAATTTGTTGGGTAACACACATTTATGAACCAATTGACTATAGAGAACGAAAATGTCTTCGGAGTGAATGCGGTCTTTATTCTCTCATACTGTGAAGGAGCCTTGGTATATTTGTGGCAATTTTTATATAACTCGTTGGGTTCATGAAAGATCACCATTAGGAAGAAAAGGCAAAAGTTGGGAGATAATTCATAGCATTCTTTGATCAATAGCTTTTTTTGTTTCGTAGGAACAAGAATAGTTATTTGATGATTCAACAGTATAATGACAAGCTCAGATTTTTTTATTGAGCTCTATCCTTTACTCTCGGAAGCTGGACGTTTTGTTTGGGTGTTATCCCACTTTAGATTTTATATCAGTTGGTTAGAAATATCAGTTTGTGAGGTCATCATCAGGGAAGCTCTTTCCATAGATTTTCATGTCGATGCCTTTGTGGAATTCAGTTGGTTAAATCTTTTTGGTGAAAGAATTTTGGCCAGCTTTTATTAGTATTGGCTCTTGTTGCCATCTGTTGTTGCTTTTCGAGGTTTCTCAGCAGTCGAATTTGGTTTGATGGGTCTTGTTTCGTTTCTTGACAATTCTCATTTGATTGTAATTGTTTTAAAATCTTGTTCAATTTCTTATTTCATTCCCACATAAGATTTTAGGCAATAATAAATTTGGGATCTGTTCTTTTTTGTTCTTATCAGCTCGATATAGATGATAGCATTTCATTATTATCATAATGGCTACTAATTTAGAGCTTTTTACTTGTTTCTAAACAGGTTCAGGCAGCTGATTCTCTGCTTAAGTTGGTTTCAGAACTTAAGCAGACAGCAATCTTTTCTGGATTTGCTTCACTAAACGATCACGTGGAGCAAAGAATCGTGGAATTCAATCAGCAGGCGGAGCAGACCGACCGTATCATATCTAAAATTGGTGAAGAAGCTGCTGTAGGGCTTAAGGAGCTTGAATCTCATTATTATTCTTCAACACAGAGGACTAGTCAGAACAGGCTGACATGATTTGTAAGTAGTGAGTGTAAATAAGGATGTGATATTGTTGGCTTCTGAACTCAATTCCTCGCTAACATGGATAGTAAAACATAACCGAACTCTTCTAGCCTATGTTCTTAGCATTTTTCTTTGGCTTTTATTGTTTTGGCATGCTAGATATGCAGGAACTAGCAGAAGGGTTTGGTGTCTTTTCTTACTCGGCTTTTTAGAAGAGTAATTAGGATGGGGAAGAAGGGCTTGACAAGGATGTAAAACATTATTTGGGAAATATGAACAATCAGAATATTATTGTTCAAACTAATGTTATTGCTGAGGACTACGGTGGCAAAAATGGCCGAGCTTGTAGAAGGTCAAAATAACAAATAAAAACTCATAGATTCATTGATGAATGTCCCAAATATTACTTACACCTTGGGTACGTGAGGAAACATATTATTATCGTAACCGTCCAAGTCCACTACTACCAGATATTGTCCGATTTGGATGTCAGCTTATTTTAATACGTGTCTACTAGGTAGAAGTTTTTATATCCTTATAAGGAGAAACTTCAATCGATTTTGGATCTCACAATCGGTCCAATGTCCTTGTTGGCATATCGTCCGATGTCTAGCTTTGATGTCATTTGTAACTGCCTAAGCCCACCGCTAGTAGATATTGTTCGCTTTGGTTCTTACGTTCTATCATCAACTCACTGTTTTAAAATGTGTTTATTAGATTGAGTATTCACACCTTTATAAAGAATATTTCATTCCTATTTTCAAAGTAACTCTTATATTTTTAACAATTTTATTATTATTATTATTATTTTTTAACTTTATATGGTTAATTTTGTTTTCGTCATAACAGGTTGTCTAGCAGCCATTCCAGCTGCATTGCCAGTTCAGTCTCCACCAATGGTTTCATCACTTAGCTCTGGTGGTCTTAGTGAGGGCAATCTCCATGTGCCCTAATCTTCTCCATCCTCGTCACGGTCGTCTGAAGGCCACCATGGCTGGAATTCTTATCAAAGGCATTAATAAAATGTGTTAATGTTGGGAAATTGAGATTGTGCAAAGCTCTAGGTAGATCTTCTGTAACTTCTACCAATATTGTGATATGATGAAGAAGAGAATTTTTTGAGAGTGAATTTTTGGATTGACGGGATCAATCTCCAAGTATGAGCATGGTATGGTTAGATTGTTAGATATAATTTTATTTATTCTCTTATTTAGTTTTTAAAATAGAATCCCATATGAACTATTTGAAGTCATATGTCATTCAACGGAGAAGGTTTTTTTTTTCCTTCATTTGATTTTGAAGCAATGCATCCTGCGAAAAACACTATAAACTAGAACTAAAGAACCGCATGTACTTTAACAATGAGCCAATGACTCATAGGTAGTTTATAAATAAACCTCATTTCTCATGGAGTTTTCCATTCCAGGATCTTCACGTATATTCCTTCTTATATGTTCTCTCTTTATAAGTAAGGGACGATCATGAATTTATAAGTAAGGGATGGTTATGGGTCAATAGCTAATTAAAGGGACGATCATGTATTTATAAGTAAGGAATATATTTTCATTGGTACGAGATATTTTAGGAAAACCAAAAGCAAAGCCACTAGAGCTTATGCTCAAAGTGGACAATATCGTATCATTGTGGAGATCCGTAATTCCTAACCGAATCATCAAGAAGGGCTCGCTAATTATCGAGTGTAACGTCCTCATAAACTCTACATGAGCAAGCAGAGATAAAAAGGCCTTAACCGAGCAAAATCAAAAAAAGAAACAAGAGCATAAAAGAAATGCTCTCACAATTCATGCAATCACAATGAGATGAATCTGAATGGTAACAACATAAATGTATTTATATTATTCAAAGGGGGTGGTTTTTATTAGTTAAGTTTGGGATTACTTTTGATTTATTGTAGTATGGGTGGTTTTTATAAGTTTTGAATAATAGTTTAGTTTGTTTTAGAGGTGTTCGTGGATTGAGCTGCATCAGGTTCGGATATTTGTTAGACCCAACCTAATTGTTTGGAGTGTCAATTTTTTCAATCTAAACCATTCTTATTAAATAATAAATCCAACTCAACCTAACTCAAAATCTAACTAGATATTTATTGGGTTGGGTTGGATTGGTTCGAATTATTTGAGTCGTTTACTCAAAATTTTGTTTTTAATAAAAGTAAAATTTTAGTTCGTAATTAAAAATTACCCTTTAAATAATTAAAATATTTTTATAAGAGTTGTTGGAGAATAAATAATAAAAAAAATAATGATGAAATAAGGTAAATATATGTATATATAATTATATCGTAAGCAAAAAAAAAAAATTAATATGAAATTCAGATAGATGGGTTAAACTCAATTTAGTCTTTCAGAAAACTACTCAAATAAGTTTATAACTCAACTTATGTCGTGTAGGTTGGATTGAGTTGATCAAATATTTTTGTTCATTATAAATTTTATTTTAGAATTACTTTATTCTCGTAAATTTTGCTAAAGAAAAAAAAATACGAGCTCTTAAGTGACAAGCCTAGGTTGGAACTCGCATGGCCCAAGTCGAGATGCACACAACCTAGGCCCAAACACACGGTCCAACACAAACACGTGCAGGACTAATTGAGCCCACATTGTTCATTTCTTAAGCACCACCAACGGATCACGTGTCATATGATTGATACATGCCTATCTTTACTTAAAAATTTTTAAAATAAGATATGAAGTACTCAAAATACTTCCCAAGTAATTTCACTATTAGAATTAGGGTACGTAGTCGTCTAGAACATGAGCGTCCATTTTTCTAATGCTTGTTTATATATATATATATCAATTTCATGTTGAACTCTTTAGGGCATGTATTACTTTCATGCATGCGAACATTATGCACATTACTGATATGTATTCAAAGCTTTTAAACATGCATCACTTTCATGCGGTCAGATTTTTCCAAAAAAAAAATTGAAGATCAACGTCTTTAAATTCATGACTTTTGTGTAACATTCACATACTTGAGATCTCACAAAATCTAACAAGAAAACAAAAAACGTCATTTTTCCATCTCCTTACATATTATAAAACCACAACAAAATAAATTATCCTTTCAACTTATAAAAAAATCATACACTTAAATTAACACTAGTTATGTGTTATAATCTAATCACTACTAACAAATATTGTTCGCTCTAATTCGTTTTGACCTGTTACATATCGTTTTTAGCTTCACGAGTTTCTAATCGGTTTCCACACTTTTATAAGGAATGTTTCTCTCTCCTCTTTAATCGAGGTAAGATCTCTCAATCCACTCTCTTGGGGCTAACATCCTCACTAACACATCACTTAGTGTCGAGCTCTGATACCAAATTGTGAGATCCCACATCGATTAGAGAGCAAAACGAAGCATTTAAAAAAGTTTACCGAAAGTTATCATTTCTGATAAGATAAGGAATCAACTACAAGGGGAATAAGATTCGGATTACCTTGTTGATCGAATATCTTAAGCCAAGAACACTTTATTTGAGATTTGAATCACTCTAGAAGCAAGATTCATCATGTCTAGCTTCAATGATTCTTGTTGATCAAATATCTCAAGACAAGAACACTTGATTGAGATTCGAATCACTCCACAAGCAAGATTGATCATGTCGAGCTTGAATGATTCTACATGTAACCTAAACTACATAGAGTTGCAAAGAAACTTAGCCATTGGCTAAAGAAGAGCACAAATGCTTCTTTTACTATATTTTCCAAGTCTACCTTACACATACAACATACATGGCTTTATATAGCCTCAAAATGAAACTATTAAAGGCATTCCAAAAGTTGTAACATTCACGCTCTATGGCCATAATTAGCCATTATGTAAGTGTAACCGAAATTAAATAAAAAGTCTTCAAATACAATAACTCTAAATTACTCTAAATTATAACCCACCCAAAATTTACAACAATCAAACTTCATTCTTCTTCAATGTATGTAGCATGAATTGCAACATTTTTTATAATTTTGACAACCTTTTCTTCACATCTTCATTGAAGTATATTGTATGACTGATGTCTCTTGGTTCATATAAATTTCCAAGCAACCCTAATCCAAACACAACAAAACATTAGAGGTTAGAGCCCAATTTAACAACTAAATAAATTCCAAAGGGATCAGAGTTGCAGTACTCAAAATTCATCAAAATGTCCCTATTCTAGATCAACTTAAAATTTCGATTACGATGAGTTAGTGACATAAACAATCTGAATAGAGTCCAATTCAATTCAATTCAATCAAATCCTCTAAAGATGGGTTGCGTTGGGTTGTTGGGTAATTTTTTTTCCTTTTTAGTTTATAAAAATCCTACTTATCACCGTACATGGTACAATAGTAGCTAAAATCTCATAAAGTTCAAATATCAAACATTTATAAGTCACAACGCCTATCACCGACAAATAAAAAAAATATCAACCTGTAAATCAAACTAGTAATAAATCTAACTCCGTCCAACTTTTATAGTTTGAGTTGGATACTTTGAGTTAGGATAAATTATTGGGTCATATGAACACGGTAATAAAATTTAGGTTTGAATGTTCCCTTAATTTCAATTTAAGCAACGTGGTAGATAAGATTAAATCGCCCATTACAATTAAGATCTAAAAATGTAAATATAAAATGAAGAAAAATGGGAAGTAATCTTTGGTAAAACTTGGATGTTACACATTCACACCATTTATTCTGAAATGATATATGAGTAAAAGAACAGGTGCAATCCATAGGTGTGGTATTGTACTCTAATGCGACCCAAATACATCACATCCACACCCCTTGCTTCCCATGATGTCCTAACAACAAGTTTGATTCCCTGCAACTTGCCAAGGTTGACACTTCAGTTCAAATCATTTCATGCCAAGTACAAGAGTCTTGTCAACTCCCAATATAGCCTACCCAACTTCCTTTTGTGTATTCATCAAACAAAACTAAAAATTAATGTAGTCTCCCACCACATCAACCATATGTTAAATCTAACCATCTGTTAAATCTAATACTCGATGTAACGATTCAAGTCCACTACTAGTAGATATGGTCTCTTTAAGCTTTCTCTTTTAGGCTTTCGCTTCAAAAATTTTAAAACACGTCTGCTATGAAGAGTTTTCATTCCCTTAAAGTAATGTTTCGTTCCCCTCTCCAATCGATTTGGGATCTCACAATTAACCCCCCTTCGGGGCCTAGCATTTTTGCTGGCACTCGTTCCTCTCTCCAATCGATGTGGGATCTCATAATCTACCTCTCTTCAGGGCCCAACGTCCTTGTTGGCACACTGCCTGGTGTCCATCCCTCTTCGGGGGCCAGTGTTCTCTCTAGCACTCGTTCCTCTCTCTAATTGATGTGAGATCTCACAATATACCTCCCTTCATGGCACAACGTTCTTGCTGACACACTGTCTGGAGTCCACCCTCTTCGAGGCTCAGCGTCCTCGCTGACAGACCGCCCGATGTCTGGCTCTGATATTATTTGTAATAGTCTAAACCCACCGCTAGTAGATATTGTCATTTTTGGACTTTTCATTTCGGACTTCCCCTCAAGGTTTTTAAAACTCGTCTCCTAGAGGGAGGTTTTCACACACTCTTATAATGAATACTTCGTTCTCCTCCTCAACCGGTGAAAGATCTCACACTCGACCTGGTAAAAACGTTAAAAGGGTGTTTGAAAAACTCCAACCATATCCCATCACTATATTTTCAGTTCAACTCAACACATATGACTGAGAAGATTCAAACAGGTTAACAACCGCTCTCTCTATTAACCGTGTTATTTCACCTCGATCCAAAAACAAACAAACAAAATCATGCAAAACATTAATATCTATAAAGCATATCAAAACCTCCATATATTTGGTAGAACAATCAGAACTATATCCATCATCACCACGATCTTCATCATCTTGGGCATGACATGAGAGAAAGAAAGGCACACTTAGCCAAGAATGGAATTGCCGGCCACAAAGAGGAGGAAGTTGCTATCAACATTATCATAAAACAATATCAAAATCCATTGCCGGTCGGCAATTCATCCTTGGCTTAGTACTCCTCTCTTCCACTTCATGCAATGCCTTTAAATGATATACCACAAGCAGCAGCTGCTGAAGTTTTTGTACACAAACACACATATTTATAGTGATGATAAAGT